CTAATTGGCACAGCGGGGACGAAGGGGATAGATTGCTAAAACATAAGCTAGAGAATCTATATATAATACGGCTAGTGCTCTTATCTATCCTCTTTCACTAAACGCTAGGGGTGCTAATAGCTAATCTAGTAGAAGACCTAATAGAGTATCTGCGTAATCAGAAGTGATAGCTCCTTCTTTAAGGAGATTGTACGCGCTCCAAAGGGGACGTACTAATCTCCTGTTCCATGGTATCAGGCCAGGAGCAACCTATATAACTACTTCATTTTAACTCTCCAGCAATTTTCCTACGCACTTGTGCTCATTTTTGAGCGTAGTACACTCTATAATAGAGTCATAGCCACTTGAACTCATTAACGTTTGATGTGTCCTTTCACCTGCTATTCCCAGGACCATGACTTCACGGTCGACAGCTAGCCCACGCTTCTGCTTGCATTTCCGTTACCAGAACATGTTTAATGGAAGGGAAAAGTGAGAACATGGCTCTACAGTCTACTGCCCCCCTCATTTAGTAGCAGAAGACTCAATTTGCCAAGCCGCATCCGTCTTGGCTCTACTAGTAGTACTACTACTGACACGTCACCGCGACTGCCCTTTGATCATGACCCCCAAGAGCGGGGATATTGGCGCCAATAATGCCAATGTGGGCCAAGGTTGGCTTGGCCGGCGCAAGTTTAGGTTGCATTATAGTACTAAAGTAAGTCTCAAAGTGAGATCATGCCAAGCCACCATTTCAAGCCTTGACCCAAGTCCGTTGCAATAGAAGGTCTGGAGTTGGCCGCAAATCAGCACGAAAACGCGGGCTTCATATGGGGATCGGAAGTCAGCGGCCAAGCTAAGGCCTTGGCACGCCTGCCATCTCACCCTTCAGCCAGGAATGAGGGATCATGAAAGGTCTGGATGATCGAAGCTAAATCCATTTCTGCAGCGAACACGCCCCAATGCCCTTGTGAGATAGCCTGCCGCTTAGGGCGGGTTCACAGGAAGTGCACAATTTCCATTAACTAGGGGGCTGTGTACTTTGTAGCACGTAAAAATGAAAATAGGCGCAACTGAACACTTCTTTGCCTGTGACCCGTCATCCCCGTCCTCGCCCATAATTTTGAAATTCCCTACCTGCCCACTTTCTTCCACCTAGGAATCCCGCCACATAACACCTTCCTTCACCTTCCATCTCCCACCCATCACTGCCCCCCAATCTCCTTCACAACGCGTAGCACATCATCTGGCATCGTCGTGTGTGCCTTCGATTAGAATTAATTCCACTCCGCTCGTGTCTGGGCATTTCTTCCACTGCAATAATTCTTGGCCTCTTGTCGCCAAGATCAATCAAGACCTTGACCTCGAAACAATGTCGACTCCTCAAGAGACTCAACAGGCGGTAGTTGACCAGCAACAACCAGCACAGGTCCCTCAACCTGTCTCGACGCCTTCTGCCGTCAACAACGGTGGTGAGAACCTGCAGTGCCAGTGGCAAGGTTGTGGTGAGAGATGTGCTTCAGCCGAAGCTCTCTACGTGAGCAGCATTTCCTTGAGCCATGGCGCCCAGCCTTGATCTCGCCTGACTAATGACTTCTACAGGAACATGTCTGCGAACGACACGTCGGCCGCAAGAGTACCAACAATCTCAACCTGACGTGTCAGTGGGGTAGCTGCCGCACCACGACAGTCAAACGCGATCATATCACCTCTCACATCCGAGTCCACGTTCCCTTGAAGCCACACAAATGTGAATTCTGTGGCAAAGCCTTCAAACGTCCTCAGGATCTCAAGAAACATGTCAAGACTCATGCCGATGACTCGGTCATTTTACGCTCACCTGAGCCTGGCCAGCCGCGTCAAAGTGGCAATATGTATGTGCCGAACGAGAAAGGTATGCTCTACGCTTCCGTATCCTGGTCTACACGTTTTACCGAACTATAACGTCGTTGCGCTTGGTTGTGTATTTGTTTACATGGTCTTTACGTGTGCCTGATGTATATCATACGTTTCCTCCGACAAGTTTGTACATGTAATCAGCTGCTAATCCAACCTCCCCAGGCCCATCCACTTATTATAATGCGATCAATCCAAACGGTGGATATGATAGTGGTCATCCTCAGGGCCCTAACCAGTATTATCAGCCACAGCACGCACATCAAGCCTCTCATCCTCCGTACGGCAATGTTTATTACACGGCAGCGCCTACTCAACAAGCCGCTTTCAATGATTTTGAGGCCCGCAAGCGTGGCTTTGAAGCTCTCGATAACTTCTTCGGTGAAGTGAAGGCTGGTCGTTTTGCTCCACTTACCTACCAAAACATCAGCCAGCGCTTGTTCGAGCTTCAAGGGCTCCAGCTACCTCTGATTGCGCAACCACCATTGTCAGCCATCCCAGCCTATCAACCCGTTTCCGCTGTCGCTGGCAGTGTTGGTGGTTACAACAGCAACGACCCAATGCAAGGTTACAGCCTGCCACCCATGGGCAATGCCAAGTCTCGTGGTGATCTGACTTCCATCGATCGACTTCTGGAGCAGATGCAAGCCGCAATCTATGAGAATGACAGCCAACTCGCTCAAGCCGGTGTAGCTCAGCCCGGTGCTCACTACGTCAACTATCGCACAGGCAACTCCCCACCTGGCGTCCAGCTGCCAGCTGCCCACGCTCAATCCACTCCAATGATGAGCCAACAACAGCAACATCATCATCACAACCCATCTATCGCTAGTGCCACCGAGAGTGTTCACTCCAGCACCCCCGCTTTGACTCCTCCAAGCTCCGCTCAAAGCTACACCTCTGGCCACAGCCCCGTTTCACACAACATGACTCCTCTTCAAGCTCCCACCAGCAACGGCAATGCAATGTATCCATCTCTGCCGACTGGCACCTTGGACAATGGTTTCCCCAATGCCACTCCAGCTCCCAATGCCGCCACCCTGGGTAACCTATATGATGGAGAAGAGCACCGTAGGCGCTACAGTGGCGGGCTTTTGCAATGGAAGTCAGTTCTGACGGCTCTAATACACCGCCTGCAGCCACTCACAATGCCAAAGCCGCAGCTGCTCGCAAGCGTCGTGGTCAAGCTCCAGCTAGTAGTGTCATCGATCCGGCCTTGTCCGGCATGGGGTCTGAGGAGTCAGCTGCAGCGGTTGCGGCGGCAAGTCTGGAGAGTCCAGCCAGCAATGCTAGTGGTTGTGAAATAACGGAGCGCGATGCCGAGAAGGAGAGAGCTTGGGTTGACAGTATGAGGTTGATTGAGTGGATGAGAGACTATGTTAAGAAAAGACTGCAGGAAGGTGATTTCGATGAAGATCAGACCGTTTCCGAGGAGCAGGGGAAAGACGTCGACATGGGCAGTGGCGAGGTGAACAGCAACAATCAGAATGGCAAGGAGGATTTGTATCCAACTTTGAAGGGGATGGGCAACTAGAAGAAGGGAGAAGGTGGTGTTGGTGATTGTGGTGTCAAGGAAGTGGCGAGAAAATGTGCTGAGTATGGTTCTAGATGCAGGTGCTTTGCTTTTATCTTTTTCCTTTTCTATCATTGCTACGCGACCATGTCAGAACGTCCAAGGCGTTACTGGAGCCGAGCACTGATCAAGTCAAGTCACATCAAGTCGCTGATTTGAGCTACCTATCCTATCGGCAAGGTTGCAGCTTAGCAGCGCTGATCACAGTTGGCCGGAAGGGCAAGCATCAATATGGGAGACAAGGAGATTCTAACATCTGATTGTTCGCGTATGTTCCCGCCAAGCAGGGCTTTGAGCTACAGCTCAGATAGCAAATAGCTCAATACATCATCAATCGAAGCACTCAACATGCGTGAATGAAAGGCTTTCTGTTTCATGGCCGCTGATGAGTGACGGTATCATGTCTTCTTGTCAGTCTGACCGTTGGCGTGCCATCGAAGATATCACTGATAAGCTTTGTGTCGTCGAACTGCAGACAGTGTACGTAGTACTACCTAAGGCTACTGGTATATTTGGAGTCGCTATACTACTACATTTGAGTGCGTATTGTGCATGCGTACAGGGAAATCTATGAGGCATAACCATTTGCCTTCTTTGCCCCCTCCCTCTTCCTCCTTCTTTCTTCGCCTGTAGATGTAATAGACAATGAGGCTCGTCTTTGGCCCGTCCTCGTGCAGATGTGAAGAATGAATCTTCTAGTGCTAGCTATCTACCATAGCTACTATCTAGGAGGCTGATTGGCCGGGCGCCAGTTGCCTTGTTCAAATTTGACAGGCTGCGCTCTACTAGTATGCGAGATTTTCAGAGTATCAAGTTGTTCCAAGCCGGCCTCGAAACGGGGGATAAGTAGTGATGCAAACCATTCCATCTGTTTCACACACGCTACTCCGTGCCTCGGTGATTATTAATGCGCTACTAATTACAAAAGTTTTTAACTCAGTCCAATCTAACTAGCCGGAAGGATGCCTGGAGAAATTAGTCAGTAGCCACGAGGAGAAGTTTATCTCTTCATCCTCATCGTCTCTTCCTTGGGGGATGTTCTTGTTGAAGATCAAATTGGCCAAGATCTAAGGAGTGAGATACAAGATGAGCTTGATCCGTCTAGCCTGATGCTGTCTGTGGTTGGCTTATTTTGGCCTTTCTTCTCACGAGTTTTTGAGGTGAAGTGAGGCTCAGGGTTCACCCTTGATTCCTCTGGCTCTGGCCCGTTGCCGCAAGGCGTGGCAAATTTCCGTGAACCAATCACACACTAACTTAGCCATATAAAAATATCTCGGGCAAATATCCATTGGCTGCTCGTTTCTCGATCTGCATGAGCGAGCACAGCCCTTGGTCTCCGTGTCTCGATTCACCAAGCTAAGCCGATCGAGGAAAATGCTGAAGGAACTCTGACTACCCCAAAGAGCTGGGTGAGCCGCACAATCAGAAGAGATCAGGCATCTTCAGGTGAAGACCAGGATGACTCTGGTAGGGGCCGGAGACGCAAGCTGTCAGACACAGCAAGCTTTTTGACTAGTTAGTCTAGATCCTCTTCTGATGCAGGCTCCTGGATTCAGTGGTCGAAGAGACCAATCACGACCTCCAAAGCTGTCCGGGATGCTCATCCTTGGGGCCAATTTCTATGCCGAGTGGTTTTGTTGCGGCTCTCTGTTTGTCCAAGGCTTTTATCGTGCTGCTTCAGCCTAATAATGGACGGTGCCATGAGATAAGTTGCTGCAGATGAATGATGCACTCGCAGCAGGTGTTAGCTCTGTGTTACCATTCCATTTCCATAAGTTACTCGTCTCTAATCCTGACATATTTCCTTGTCCTTCAGAAACTGGTCCAGTTAGCTAAGCCATATAGCTCCGAGCAGAGATGATTTTCTTCAATCGTCGTGTTTCTCCGCAAGCTTATTGTACCTTCATTATTCTTCTTACAGCCTTACCAACTGTTCGTGCGGATTATCTTTCTTTCTTAGACCGACTATACCGAGCCTTTTCGAAATTCAATATTGTGGTCCCAGCCAGCACCATCAGTAATGTGGATGCCGTGTACAGGCATTGGAACTACATGGAGGCGAACTATAGCAAGTGGGAAGAAGCAATTTACAACGACACGCTTTCAGAGGATGAACGACAGAAGGAGGTGGCTGAAGCGAGCAAGGGAGTCGACGACTCCTGGTACCATATCATTGGCGATTTCATGGGTGTTGGGGTGAACAAGAGCTGCAGACCAAACATTGAGGCGGTCCTCAATGAAAGCAGCGAGTGGGACAAGGCCGGACAGCAAGCTTCAACCGTGATCATGGCTATATTACCGTCATTGCTGACCTTTGGTCCGTCGCACCGCACTATCGACCTCATTTGCAAATGCTAACCCACCATCAGGCAACCTCTATGTGCCGCGGAGCTCTGAGGCCTTTGGCACGAGTTTTTTGGTGGGTCTTCTATCAGCTGCGTTCGGCTTCGGCCTTCCTGTCAAAAGTGTAAGTGCACACAACTGGCTAGAGCACGCAGTCCAACTACTGGGTCCCACCACGGACTAATATCATTTCAGATCTCTGCTGTTCCCGTTAGGCAAACAATCACATTATCTAGTCTAAACTGGGAAGCTAGGACGGATCTAGAAGGGCTCGGCAAGCAGCTTTTGAAGAAGGCCATCCCGGCGAAGTTGTCTGAGTTACAAAAGTGGTCGGACAATCGCGATGGTATGATTTCAACCGGTGACGCCTGGGCTACCGGCATCAGCCACGCCGCCCTCAACTGGCAATCTCGGACTCACTGGTGGCATCTGCCATCGCTGCTCGTTGCAGCCCTTCAAACAATCATCCTTTTGCTGGCTGTCTTCCCTCTGTTTATGGGGTTGGGCGTCCCCCAGCTCCTTTTCGATTGTACCGCAACGTGAGTGTGCTTCATCGAGCGTGTTGAGTCTGCCGCTGACAACTGGAAAGGGTAACCTCAATCTACTTGCTTTTGAGTGCAGTTGTCTCGAGTATTGCACGAGCACTGATGTGGGAATCCAGTGATCATGAACGAGTCCACATCTTTGCTTTGTCGCAACTTGCAGAGAAGCGGTTACGACAGATCGCAGATAGAGTACCAAGGGAGCTTTCTACGGAAGTGGATCTTCCACCGCTCCAAGCACCACTCCTGGTTCGTCCCATCGTTTCAGTCCAGAGAAATCTTACACGCTTCTGGTTTGCAGTCACCAGAATAAGACGCGGAGTAGCCCGAAAGCAACCTGCGCCACAACCCCTACTTGTCGGGACTGATGAACGCTATTGGATGATACCAGTACAATTCATGAGAGTGCTCATCGCGCGGTTGAAATGGATTGCGACGAATCTGCTCACGTTCTTCCTCTCCGGATTCCAAAGTCACCATACGGCCATCAGGTGGAGGCCACTGATCGTACTGGCTCACCTCTCTACTACTGGACGTGATCCTCTGAAGACACTCTTCACTGGAATTGTGGAGGGCTCGGTTTTGTTGGTGCTCACCTTCTTCTTCTCGGCCCAATGGGCCGGCAATCTCATAGTGACTGCGTACTCTGTGGCATATCTCCTGATTGCCGTGAGCGTGGCGCGCGGCTTGGGTCTCGCTTATATCAAATGGAGTGTGCGATCTGCCGGTTTGCATTTGGTTGAATGTGAATCCGTGGAGGAGATCCATGGGTCCTTGAGGGTGCTCTGCAGCATGAAACATCTGCTGGTGAGGGTCAACGGGGCCTGGTACTTTGAGGGTAAGCGTATGGACACGACCCCAGCGTTCTGGGACTGGGAATTGAGATCGGAGCGGGGCGAATTCGACGATGAGAAGAGAAGCTCGATCCAGTCTACCAGTACGTCGCCGGTCAGTACGCCGCCGGCCAGCGTAAGCCCGGCGCTTCCGACGAAGAACGATACTGAGCAAGTGGTCACCGCTGTCAACCATCGCAGTACGCTATAGGATAGGATTTGTTGTCCAGCGAAGGCGCAGGTATAGGAGGGTTGGAAGGCATGTTTTGCCATATGTTGATCATATCCTGTTTGCATACTGGTCCATCCTACGAGGGCGAGGACTTCTTTCGACGGCATATCTCATGGAATAATTCACGATCGAGGTGGATTTACCTTTGATTCTCCATTTGCCTCGATATCTCTTGCAAGTGGACTAAGGATCTGCCACTCTTTCATGACAAGTGACCATCTTTGGCTCACACCACCTCCCAAATCTCAAAGCTTTCTTTCCACGAACCAGACATGCTATCCAGACATGCTATCCAGACATGCTATCCAGACATGCTATCCAGACATGCTATCCAGACGCCGCTCCTTCAACCCCATATCACATCTTCATCAGCACCAAAGCGATAACCTACCAAGCCTGCCATATCACCCTGGCCAGTACTACCCTGCAATTTAGAAGGTTCTTTGAAGTCCCAAGTATGCATAATATGATTCCTATCACTTGTCTTCAACTTCAACACCTTCCAATACACCGAAGCCCGTCAGACCCACAGACCTATTCACCCGCCCCGTCCGTCACCCAGCTTTACAAGTACTCATACACTTCGATTCTCAAAACCTGCCTCAAGGAGAGTCCGACATACGCCATAGAGCACACCACCCACTGACCCACTCCTGTCCCGCTGGCCTGCCTCCCAACGCTCAGACCAACTCTCTCCCCTTCACGTTCCTCCCTATTCCAGGATCCCAAGCACCAATAAGTATGGAGCCCAAACCCGACCCCTCCATCTGTGTCCACCACACCAGCCATCACCACGAGATCACAGCGACGCCAATCCCATCATCACCTTCCTTTTAAAGTCCCGGTCCTGGTATACGTGTATCCCAAAGCCTACCAGCTCCAGTTGGGTGGTTGAAGAGAACCTGGTGAAGGAGCGACAATCGAGCCCTTACCTGTCCTGTAGTGAGAGGGACTCGTCTGCCCGCTCTCTTTCTTCCCTCCTTCCTTTGTATCTGCTAGAACGCTTGCCTATTGTGGGTTTGGCAAATGAGGACTGTTTGTTAGTTTGGTTTGGTCTGTTTGTGTGTCGGTGTTTGTTAGTTTGGTTGATCTGTTTGTGTGTCGGCGTATGTAAGCACTCTCATTCATCATTTCGACATAAAGAGAGCTAGTTCATCAGAAGACATGTATATACATTCATGTATATCTCTTCATATGTATAGAAGAGGAAGGACAGAGCTTCCTCTACTCTTCATCCCCTACTACACTTGCCATCTACCTCTTATCACTCAACAATGCTAGCATGTTGCTTCTCACATGGCTTGGATGCGAATTACACAGCTCTCGTCCATTTCCTCGCCCGCCGTCCTCCCTCCATCGGCCTTAGGTATCACCAAGCGCCCCATCTCCCCGTCCCATCACCCACCCTGTCAAACAATACCTCCACAACATCCCTCTTCTTCTCCCCCGGCAGCGTATGCACAAGAACCAGCTCATCCATCCCCGACGCCAACACAGCCATGACCGACACCAGAGCCGAATTTGGCTTCGCATTCAAACCACCATTCGCACTTCCCCTCCCCTGCATTCCCCCTTATTTAACCCTGGCTTTGTATATTCCTAGTTAAAAATAGCCCGCGAAAGCCGACAGTTCTTCTGCTGCACCACTGTCGCCCTGTAAGGAAGAGAAGAGATCCAGGAACTCCACCTCAAGAAGCATCACGATCAACAGATCCGGTCGCGTTCTCGACAGCTGCGTCAGCGACCGCAGTAGAGGCACCAAAAACGCATTCGTAGCGACGGGGCCGGTGGAGCGGGCTAGCGTTGTCAGCGTTTGGGTCAATCCCTCTAATACCACAATCGAGGGTTGTGCCGGTTGAGGCTGCGTTTGGGCGCTAGTGCTATCGGAGGGAGGGTGGTGAGGTTGTTGTTCCTTGTTTTGAGCTTGACCGTCGTGCTGCCGTTGGGAGAGGGTGGAAGATACCTCGGCGACGGCATCGGCGAGGCCGGGGAAGTCGAAATATTGGAGGAGGGAGACGGTGTCGAGGAGGGAAGCGGGCAGATGTGCTGATTCCAGGGCGGTGGCGAGGGTGGTGGGGGAGATCGAGGAGGTGGAGCATGCGGTGGCGGAGGTTATCATGAATACCGTTGCCGGTGCTGCTGCTGCTGCTGCTGCTGGGGCTTCGGGGGGTGGTGAGGAGGAGGGTGGTGATGTTGAGATGTTTATAGAGCACTCGTGAATGGAGGCAAGATGTGTAATGATGAGTTGTGTGATGAGTGGTAACTTTGGCTCCTCCACCAAAATAGAAGCGGTGCTCTCGTCAATCATGCCGATCAGTTTCCCGCCGATCCAGCGATGGGGTGGAAACGTTCTGTCTAGAGATGGGATCCCGGTTCTCCATTGGTGTGGGGAATGTGGCCTTCTGTTCTTTTCTCGTGATAGCAAAGATGAGGCCAGAATGGCCGGGGCAGGAGACGCGGAAGAAAAAGTCATGGCATATTCTAGGACTTAAGCCAAAGAACGGGTTCGGAAAGGAATATAATAGAGCACGCAGATGACATGAAAGGAGTGGAAGGTCTTTGGTTGTTTGTGGTTTGTCAATTCATTCTATGTTAAGTCGTCTGGAAAATTCACGAGATTCGGTCTTTCGGTCCGACACAAGTGATGCGAAAGGTAGCAAGAGAGAGTCTGTCCTGGAAACAGCCTGTAGCAGGTGGCCACAGTATCATCGCATGTCTGACTGACCTTCTCTAATGTTTCGCGGGCAAATATTGACCTAGAGGTGTCGAAAAACGGTTTACTCAGCCGATGGGCGACCTAATATGCCAAGAGGAATAAAAACTGTGTGATACTAGTAGTAGTAGTAGTAGTAGTAGTGGTAGTAGTAGTATTCGGGCAGGGCTTGACATTATACGTGCCAGTGCTTGGCTGCCCAACCACCATCACTGGCACGTGATCCTACCAGCATATAACTGTTGTAGCCACTGGTAACTAACCCACAGAACCACTTGGCGGGCCAGTTTGCACACGCTTTATGCACTACCTTACCACTCTATAGGCCACATTGCTATTACTTAATTAAGTGGTAGTATGCATGTGAACTTGCCACAGCGACCTCTTGCAGAACCCGGCATCTAGTCTACCAATCGCGACGAACAAGTTGGAGCAGGGCATCCCAAGCTTTCCTAGTCCTCTCATCTTGTAATAATCTTGGAAATACTATTCAGATCAACAGGTGGCCATATCTTCGACAAGGACCCATAGCAATGTCGCTGTTATCCGGCTCTCTCCCTAACCAGATGAAAACTTCCCGACGCAGCCTGATAAATGTCCTTCATCTTGCGATCTAAGCGCTCTTCTTCTCTTGCGGGTCGAGTTGGTTGATGCAAATTGCGTCGATCCACAGGTATCTTCCCCACTACTTCTGAACGTAGATGAAGCAAATGGCGCAAAGAGATTTGGCAGAAGCAGAAGTCGGTCATCATTTAAGAATGTTGTGGACGTAACTCCTGCTTTGGTCTCCTCGGGTATACGAAAGAGCCTCATACCCAGACCTATCAATTAGGGATACCGTCATCAACCTCAATTTGATTCTGTCGGATCTGCTGCTAGGTAGAAGCAATACTAGTCGTATGTCCTCAGACTGCTCATCCGAAGCAGAGTATTGAAAGGTTCCACCAGGGAAGAGCTGGCTGATGATCGTTGGGGTACCTGGGTCAGATGGCGTCTCTGGGTCCATTTGCCGACATTTGATACGATGTCTTAGTTCCTTTTCTGGTGTAGAATTGTAAACAGATATGAACGGAGGGAGCTTCTGGAGAACTTCTGCGGCGCAGCAATAGTTTTGATGAATCTTTTGCTTCGATGTACAGCATTATTGGGAAGCTTTAAGTCTGGGGTGATAATATTGCATCGAAGTTGGGTGGCCAATACGCACAAAAAAGTGCACAACCTCGATCTGTCTTGGATGGAAGGCCGAGATATAGCATACAACCTGAAGCTGTGACTGATGAGACCTTCAGCATCCAGTACTTCAGGCTGGCATACAAGTAGCACGTCAGGCTGCGCAAGGTGTATTATCTCCTGGTATGGAGTATGATTGGGTAAAAAGTTATCTGCTGCAGCCGCGTGGTTATGAACATACAGATTGAATTCTAATGCGGGATGAGAAGATTGTGTGTGCTTCGATGGCAGACATTACTATGAAGTTGAGGAACAGGCGTGTGAAAGTGCTTACATGCATGTCCTGCTGCCACGCACTGCCACTCTTGTAAACCCTGCAGTGTGTTGGCTCCTGATGTTGTAGCCTTGCCGGGAGGTCACTTATCCCCTTGAAAACTGCCGCACCAGGTCACTGTCAACGGCTAAGAAGTGATGAGCAGTGCATCCACCATGGTTGCGTTAAACGGCTCCCACAATAGATTCCTGTTGCCATACCCTTCATGCTCCGTATGTGCAAATATCATGATTTGAACTTTTGGTGGATGTTCTTGATCTGTTCCTGTACACTCATCTGACTCTGTGCCCCCTGAGCAGGTTGCTTCTTCTGTTGATCTACAGTCGGCGTCGGATAGCTAGTTGTTCCTGGAGCATCATAAGTGCCATCCATCCCTTTCAATCTCTTTCTCCTTTCTTCCTCTTCTTGGTTCTCCAAGACCCTTGCAGCAGCTTCGGCAAGCGGATCACTCGTATCACCACCAGTTCGAGCACGTAACCGTTTGAGGTTAGCGGCCACGTCTGTCCCACCTAGATTCGTACTCGCAAATCTCGAGTCTGCCTTCGCACGTTGCTCCTTCCATCTCGGATCCAGCAACTCAATCTGCAAATGCTTATCGAGTTCAGAGAGAAGAACCGATTGCCCACAGTTTGGACAAATAGCGGAGGCAGTTGCAGGATTTGCTTTAGTGCGTTGTTGTGCTCGAGGTACGTAGTCTGAACGGATGCGCATCGGAGCGGCGGTATTCGCGCTGGCAGCGGCAGCGGGGGTAGCGACAGCTGGTGGCTGTTGAGGTACTGAGGGTGGTCGAGGCGAAGGGGTGGCGTCTGGTCTTGTGGGAAGGGAGATATTGTTGGCAGACGAGGCGAAGACAGATGACGGCTGCGGTGACATTGCAGGCTGGGGAGGTGTGGCTGTATAGTCCATTGTTGAGGCATATTGTTGAAGCTGTGGTTGTGGTTGATACGGAGACGGAGAAGGGTTGTACGGCTGGGTCTGTGCTTGCTGTGCGTATGGGTCATAGTAGCTGGTCATGTCGTCTGTTGGCATAGCTTCTTCAATACGCATATCTGGTCTGGCAAGACTCATCATGGCTTTCTGCTCTAGACTTGCGCTCTGAAGATCGTTGAGTGAGGTAGGGGGGGGTAGGTCGGCTTGGTCATCTGCTTCGGTGAAAAGGACAGTTTCCACAACCACGAAGTCATGCCAGTCAATCTGAGCATATGCCAGCCGTTCTGCTTCCTCCTCCTCTTCTTTTTGCTGCTTTTGTGCTTCTTGGTATTTGACCCACTCACTCCGTTGCTTTGCCCGCTCCAATATTCGAAACTTATCTTGTAGATTTTGTTGCAGGTCTTGAATGCGTTTCTGCTCTGCCTTTTGGCCTTCGGGCCCTGTCTGAAGAAGGAGCGTGTATTGGTCTACTAAGCGGGAGAAGAACTGGTAAAGGGAGTGTTGCGGTCGTAAAAAGTCAAATTGAAAGTTCCTCGCCTCTCGCTGGCTTAGGGCTGTCATCCATGATCTGCCTTTCCTTGCTACATGTAAAGCTGTGAGCTTGACGATTTCCAAGTCCTGCGCTGATATATTGGGCATCCGTGCCGAAAAATGAAATTCCGGAGGTGGTGCTGGACCTTTTGCTTTCTCTTCGACAACAGCCTGCGCGCCTTCTCCAGCCCTTCCAGCGCTGACAGCCGTGCCTCGTCCTTCGCGCACTTCGTTTAGCCGCCACAGATAAAACGCCGAGTATGCATCGTTTGGCGACAGGAAAGAGAATTTGGGGTTGTGCTTCTCCTTCTCGCGGATACGGTCTTCGAACACATGCCCATTGCGAGCTACGTATCCTGCTGTCTTCTCAACTATAGCGCGAATGTCCTTGGGTGGCAGAACAATTCCTTCGGGAGGCTTGGACACGGCCTCAGGTAGTTCGGGTACCGCTCCATTTGTTGCCATGGCGGGATGTTACTTGCTGTCCCCGGCGCAGTGCCCACCACCGTAGATCTTTTGGCGAAGGATTTGTGGTAGCTCGATTCAACGGTGCATGGCGGAATATAGTGCTCGTCTCTGCTGGAGTGCTTGACTGCAGTCACTTCAATGGAGACTTTTCAAGCCATACAGATGCCAAGCCGTGCGCATGGACCCTCTGCATGCCACTAGTCCTGCCAGTACGGAGTACTCCGTACTACTGTACTTACAGTAGTACCTGCGGTCAATCTGGACAATCTGTCCTGTCTCACTTTGAACACCGCATACTGGCTCGCTAAATGCTTACTTGGAGGTCATTGTAGCTTCCTCACGGCATGTCTGTCAAAGCTCTACGTTGAGTGGCTGCCAGAGCCTTTCTTTTCTCCCGACTCTCCTTAAAACGCGTTCCCAGATCACAGCTACAAAGAAGCACAGCCCTTTTTGTCCGCGCCAGACGTTCACTTTTCTCGGAGCTTCACTCAAGTCTTCGGATGTTCAACGAACAGCCCTACCAATACCTACCGTCATGGCGTCTGTAAAGCAGCTCAAAACCATACCCATAGAAAAGTCGCCATCAGGCACATCAGCAACGGATCGATCCGAAAGCATCACTCCCGGAAAGAATACAAAGCGGAAAGACTATGGCTCAGAGGGTGTCACAGACAATGACATTTTCCTTCTTCCTAGCTCGGATTTTCAGCTGTTGGGAGTCTTGACCGCAATTGCGACAGTGGTTCGACTGTTTCGTATCTATCAGCCCAGCAGCGTGGTGTTTGATGAGGTTCAGTGAGTGGTCTTGATCCTACACAAACCAATGACAAGCTGAAGTTCTCGTCCTAGCTTTGGTGGATTTGCCTCTAAATATATCAAGGGACGTTTCTTCATGGATGTCCACCCTCCTCTGGCAAAACTGCTCATTACGCTTGCTGGCTGGCTAGCCGGATATGATGGCGACTTTGACTTCAAAGATATTGGCAAAGACTATCTAGAACCCGGGGTGCCTTATGTCGCCATGCGAATGCTGCCAGCGGTGCTGGGTATTGCCACCATCCCTACAATGTTTCTGACGCTTAAGGCTTTGGGGTGTAGAACCATGACAGCTGCTATGGGAGCTTCATTGTTGATCTTTGAGAACGCCCTTGTCACGCAATCTCGTCTTATCCTGCTAGACTCGCCGTTGATCTTTTGTACCGCTTTTACGGCTTTGGCGTTCACATGCTTCACCAATCAACATGAATTAGGCCCTTCACGAGCGTTCGATGCCACATGGTGGTTCTGGTTAGTACTTACAGGCCTGGGACTTGGAGCGACTGTCAGCGTCAAATGGGTGGGGCTTTTCACGATCGCCTGGGTGGGAAGTCTGACGATCCTTCAGTTGTGGGTTCTTCTAGGCGACACGACCACAGTCACACCGCGGAAATGGTTCAAGCACTTTTTTGCCCGAGTCTTCTGCTTGATTATTATCCCGATTGCTGTCTATGTTGGTTTGTTTGCTATTCACTTCATTTGCTTGGTCAACCCAGGGGACGGGGATGGCTTTATGTCTTCTGAGTTTCAGGCAACACTCAACTCCAAAGGCATGCAGGATGTTCCTGCCGACGTGGCTTTTGGTAGTGAGATCAGCATTCGACACCACAATACTCAAGGCGGCTACCTCCATTCCCATGCTCACATGTATCCAGGGGGGAGCAACCAGCAACAAATCACGCTTTATCCTCACAAAGACGAGAACAATGTCTGGATCGTGGAAAATACGACGCAGCCACTCACTGCTGATAATGTTACAATCCCTGGGCCCAGGGCATGGAGCAATATATCCACTACATATGTCAAAGATGGCGACACTATCAAACTCTATCACATAACTACTGACCGACGTCTACACTCTCATGATGTTCGTCCACCTGTCACGGAGGCTGACTGGCAGAACGAAGTCTCGGCATATGGTTATGAGGGATTTGAGGGCGATGCAAACGACTACTTTCGCGTTGAGATAGTCAAGTCGATGTCAGATGGTGCGGAAGCCAAGACAAGGCTGAGGACGATTCAGACCAAATTCAAGCTTGTTCACGTCATGACTGGCTGCGTCTTATTCTCTCACAAGGTCAAATTGCCGGACTGGGGTTTTGAGCAGCAAGAGGTCACTTGCGCCAAGGGCGGTACGCTTCCCAACAGTGTTTGGTATGTTGAGCAGAATTTCCATCCCATGTTAGGCCCAGAAGCAGAAAAGGTCAACTACCGCAACCCCGGCTTCTTAGGCAAATTCTGGGAGCTGCAACGGGTTATGTGGACGACTAATGCTGGCCTCGTCGAATCTCATGCGTGGGACTCTCGCCCCCCTTCTTGGCCTGTCCTGAGCCGTGGCATCAACTTTTGGGGCAAAGACCACCGCCAAATCTACCTACTTGGTAATCCTGCCATTTGGTATCCGTCTACCATAGCGATTGCGGTCTACGTTGTCTTCAAAGGCCTATCGGTCTTGCGCTGGCAGCGTGGATTCCAGGATTACAACAATGTCAACTTCAAACGATTCGACTATGAGCTGGGCACCACGGTTTTGGGTTGGGCATTTCATTATTTCCCATTCTATCTGATGGCTAGGCAGTTATTCCTGCATCATTACCTTCCAGCTCTCTATTTCGCCATCATGGCTCTTTGTCAGATCTATGATTTTGGAGCTAATAGGATTGCGACCCTTGGCTTGAAGAATCGGCCAGAGATTAGTGGAGCGTTCATTGCTCTATTCCTAGCTTTCGCCATCGGAACCTTCACATTGTACGCACCTCTAACATATGGCAATGCCTGGACACAGGACGCTTGTAGAGCTGTCAAGCTCTTCGATACATGGGATTTTGACTGCAATACGTTCTACACAGATGTCAGTTGAGCTCCAATTCCTCTTTCCACCTAGCTGACCAATCTTTAGTATTCTCAGTACTCGCTACAAGCGCCTCAGGCGAGTGGCAAAGCAACTGAACCCCCTTCGTTGCCGCCACAAGGCGGGATGCCGAAAGCTGCAGGCGGCGCTGATTCTGCTGGCAAAAATGATGATAGGGTTACGCCACAACCCGCTGGAGCAGTGTCAGAAGGACAACTTGTTCTTGGCCGAGAAGAGAATGTGGAGTATCGAGATCAGGACGGCAATCTGCTGGACGCAGCGGAGGTCTCTTCCCTCGCCGAGGAAGGGAAGGTCACTTTCAAGACTAAATACGAGACGAGAACAAGATTGGTGGACACTGACGGGAATGAGATCCCTGATTCGCGTGGTGTTGCACCAAAGCATCCAGATGTTGAAGGACAAAATCCTGACACCAAAGGAATCCCAGAAACTCAAGGGAAGAGTCAGCCTGCTGATGCGAAGATCAACTACATTGGGTCGGAAAATAGGGAACAGGATGGGAAGCCTAAGCCTGGTAGCGAGGCCAATGAGGCTACTGGGAGAAGCAATTTTTCAAGCGTTCGAGCATGAAATGTGGCATTTACCTGATACATGGAATGGTAAAACAGCCAGCTGTCATTGTCATAGGTTCGAGAAGATGCTTGAGGCATACCAATCAGACCAGGATTTAGTTTGTAATGACTTGACCTTCAGCAACTCATTCGCACAGAAGTATTCCTGTACATCTGATAACAATTGAAGAGCGTCAATCCCTTTTAGCCCGAGCTGGGTTGTCGTCGCGTCCATGATTGGCCAAGCTTTGCAGACGTAGATGCGGTGCATCGGCGCAACCACAAACACAAACAACATCGATGTCAGTGTTGGGCTATTTTTCAGTGTTTACAATATACTACCCAGTTTGACCCTTTACCCTACGCTTTCTCAACCTAGAGATCCACACGCGCCGTTTGTTGACGGAAGCATCAGCCTGCCCGGCGATTTACTACCAAGGCTGTCAAACCCAATACCACAACCATGGGCGAGTCCAGGTAGTTCCATGAAGGCCATAGTGAATCTATTGTTGCTGATAATTGGGTCTACTCAGACAAGAACTGTTGCAGTGGCTCAACAGCCTGCTACAACTCAATATCACCAAGATTGAACAGTGCGGAACTGGGTACGTTCTTGACGCCTCTCATGTACAACACAAGCCGAGCCTGTCACCTGTCATGCTCGCTGTCGCATTGCTTGCCTAGACAACCGCCTGTCCACGAGCAACAACCCGTCACTTCCTGAAGAAGCGGCCACATAGGACTGACAAATGGTGGTAGAGCGGCGCTATGTCAAGTCTACGATTCAATATACAGTATGTGAGGCTGTCTCGAGCCAGCACTCAGACAAGCTCTGGCAGCAACACTGGTTGCTAACGGGGTGTTCCCATGCTCAGTGGATATGCCAATGTCGCGCGTGAAGTTCAACGTGAACTCCGAATACGCCTACATACAGAATTTCAAACAACTGCAAAGTGAGTGCTCCTCAATGCAACATCAAGCACCGCAATACACCCTTGTTTCAAGCCCACTTAATCACTAACTGCGTGCCCCCAGACGAATTCACCAAGCATGGAATCGAGAGACTAGTACCAGTTGAGCAATTAATCAAGTGCCGGATGCAAGATAACCTGGAATTTCTTCAATGGACAAAAAGATACTGGGACCAGCACTTCCCCGGCCATGATTATGATGCAGTGGGCCGAAGGAAAGGATCTGGTGCGCCTGCTCCTGCCGCCACCCCTCGAACCTCCACTGGCGCAGGTGCGCGAAGACCTCAAGCAGGAGCAGCACCTCGCACAGCACCCCGTGGGGCAGCGGCAGGATCGGTTGGTGGTGCTGGCTCAGCGGGAGCCCTCAAAGCAGAGAATGACACATTGAAAGAAGCAATCGCTGGACTTGAGAAGGAGAGAGACTTCTACTTCAGCAAATTAAGGGACATTGAGTTATTACTGCAGACTGCGGTTGATCAGGATCCAGAACTAGAGAAGGATGACAACGGGCTGGTGAAGAATATACAGGCTATCCTCTATTCGACAGAAGAAGGGTTCGAGATACCTACTGAGGCTGAGTTTGCCGAAGGGTTGGCCGAGAATGGTGACGAGCAGGAGACCTTTTGAACAGGATAACGGGCTGCCCAAGGATAGACTGCTGGCAGAGTAGCACATGAGCGGTTTTCGGTTGTTTTATGGATGCACAGACGTTATGGAAGAGCGTACGAGGAGTTTTGGAGCCATCCATTATCGTACTTCACAGCAAATGAGGAGTCATGGCACCGACACATTGTCCCAGGGCTTTCAACAGTCATCAAACAGAGACAACGCAACGAGCTCCACACCTCCAGAAAGCCAGATCTGTCACCATTGATTGACAGTAAGTATCACGTCTGGCGCAAACCGATCCTGTATCTTATGGACCATCGTTTGAGCGCTCTCCCCGCTCTGCCCATGGAGCATCAGCGATGAACCCACATCAGTTCCCTTTCATTTCACTTTCTCTCCAGAAAACCCTTGCCCAAAGAGAATTGCTAATCTTTATTTCCTCTTCCCTAAATCTTCACACAGATTTTTCCCCCCCCCCCGTTCACATTGTGAGTGGGTAAGATCAATGCGGCTGCTTTGAGGTGTTGCAGAGTGCCTAGTACCAACCTCGTAGGGATTCGTACTCTCTCAATGCATGTTATCAAGGAAGGTAAGCACCTTCTGACAAATTCACACAGGGGATTCAATAAATCTTTAAATTTATCCGTCGGAGAGATGAAAGCTCCAACATCAATGACAGCAAATTTTGTAAGAACTTGTCATTATTTAGGGCTGATGCAGGTTGTCAAACATCGTCACCATTGATTGGATATTGATGTGGTACAACTCCCACATTAGTTCAAAATATTGTGGATCGAGCGCAGGTGAAGCATTGCTTGGTATCATCACTAGCTAGTGATTTGGTATTTTGATAATGAATCACGCTGAACCCCTGACCTGAACCTGAGAACTACAATTAATTCGCTACCGTTTCTACCGTTTCTGCCAGTTCTGGACTACATCACGACTTGAGCGTTGGTGGCTGAAACCTAAATATTTATTTAATGAGCGCTTACCTATTCACCCAACACTGAGCTCAGCTCACCTCCAACCATTACTCTCGAAAATGCCGCTCAAAATTGAAGACAGCCAAAGTGAAACAGCCCTTTCAAGGCCCCGTACAGACATGCGCCATATCAGCGCCATGTCTTGCTTGGCCTAACCAGATACATTTCTTCCCTTAACCTTGTTTTTGTCCATGTTACAAGCCTCAATGCAGATTTAAAGTGGCATGCCGCTAGTTCTGGTTGTTTGGACCATGTTTTCCAATTGCATTTGCCGCAATTTTCTGTGGGTGCGCTGGTAGCGGTAAACCGTCAACCTTCTGAGACCGTTACTCTCGAGCTGTATGTACCGATACCTTCTGGTGGCCAGTATTTCACCTTGCGAAACCCGCCCATGGGGACCTCGCCTTCCGCACAATGGATCGCATTAGGTATTGGCTTCCCCATCCCGGGACCGAGGTGGACGGGGAGAAATCCGACCGACTCGAAGCCACGGCCTGGGAGAAGCTCATCAACTTGCCCGCTATACTGGTGTCCACAGCGTTCAGTGTCGTGCTGGCAGTAGCAGCGGCGCGCGAATGGCACACAACAGGTCCATTGTACCACTTTTCGAGCCAAAATCGCGCCACGACTCAAATCCTCGTCCAAGTACTTGCGTCTCTGCTAGGGGCGACGCAAATTCTAGCCGTGTGCAGCTTGTTATACATGTCTACAAGCCTGAAGCTTCGCCAAAAACCAACAGAACTCGATCGGCTACGCTTCTGGGCGGCGCTGCGGCGAAGGTCTTTCGAATGGGATCTACCTGCCAAGTTACTTCCGTTCCTCTTATTCTTTCTGCTTCTGGCGCAACTCCCCGCAGCGTTATGGGCAGGTGCCATCACTCCCGTATCAACAGCCGCGCTCGAATCGTCTACCGTGAGAATACCGCAGTATACCGGGAGATCGCAAGAGCTATGGAATCGGACCTGTCTCATGTGTTGGGCTCGCCCGGTCGCAACCCCAAATAATACGGATTCCGGGTTTTTCTCATATCATCCCAGTTTCGGTAATTTCTGAGTTGGGCACATGGCACGTATTGATAGCTAACGGATACATTGCTGCAGATATGCAAGGTTCGCTCCTTGGTACCGCTTCCTCTGCGTCAGGTCGCACTTCGGAAAAAGTTAGACATCAAAAGATTGACAATTCAGGCTTTTTCTACATTGGCCGGTCATATGGCGTGGGCGCTGCCGCGGGTCTTAGTGACCAAGACCTCTCTGGAAGCAACGACTACGCCTACAATGAATTTGGCTACAACTCTAAGGTCGCATGCCTCATCAATGAGACTTCCGCGTGGAAGCTCACACGACAGTTCGACTTTAATGCCTCAACGTACCCCAGCGTCTACCTTGCGTCCGGATTCCTACCGAACAGCGCACCTGAGGCACGGGAATTCTACTCCGTCAGCAGCCTGAATGATAATCTGACCATCGTGGCTCTGGTAGGCACGGCCAACGACAACCGCTTCATGTACGCGTTTGCCACTGGAACCGGCTACCTCTTCCTTGACAAGGTGCAATGCGAGGTCACCTTTGAACCCACCAGACTCGAAGTAGTGGTCGACGTCAGCAATAAAACGATCAGCATGATGCCGAGCACGGACCAGATTCCGGGAGCCGCGTATGATATCAAGGACATTGATCCATCCGGCAGCCTCAAGAAGATGGTCTTCCGGCAGCCCACCACAATGTCTATGATCGACACCACCCTTTACACGTCTCTACTAGGTAACGTTTTCCGAAACAACTACGGCAACCTTCTCGATCGAGAAGGGCTCGATTCCGCCTTTGACCAGCGCTCCCGCGTCGAGCCCGGCCCAAAACAGAACTTCCTGCTCACAGCCGTGGCCGAATCGCTCGAGTCGATCCTCGACAACAGCCTCCTCGCCCTGGCCAACGCACAGATCGCCATCGCATCCGACACCACAGAAGTTCCGGTCTCATCCCGCGTTCCCGCCGTGCAGATCGGTGAGTCGCGGTACACCTACGCCGTGCTTGCCATCAATGCCGCCATCCTGGTGTTGTACGTGTTGACGGGCTTAAGCACCAAGCTCTGGAAGGGCCTGACCAAGTTCGATTACACGGACATCAAGTGTGCCCTGGTCGGCGCGTCGGCCGGGGGCGACAAGCTGGGAAAGAGGGTGGGGATATGGGACGGCGACCCGGCCGATGAGAAGGTAGGCGCTATTCGGGTCGACTTAAGGTATGATGAGATGATTGGTGGGATGGTCGTTGCTTGCGCGGGACAGCAAGATAGGAGCACCACGGGCAAAATGTACACGATCATAAACACGGAAGAAATCAACGACGGCTGACGCGGGTCATTGCATGTATGCAGAATGATCATGGAAGACCACTCACTCTACAGGCATGAAAAACACGCAGCAGCTGGACACAGGGCCCACTATAAGAGAAATAGACTAGCCCAATCATCTATCTCTCGTTCGACAACGTACCCGTGTAACTTCAACTGCGGGGGACCAGAGAGCATGGAGATATGAGAACAGGCCTATACCGTTGAAGAGCTGACGAGGGTCAATGCGTCTATTTCTCACTGAACGACCCCCATATTGTCTCCTCACCGGGACATGCCTCTCGTTACAAGAGAATCAGCACGGATTGAGGGATTGTAGAATGGGACGATCGGCATGATCAGGGCAGATGATGGACGGATCCGAGTCAGATGGGAAACCGCCAGTGAGCAGTGGAGCGACAGGGTCCGTTTCGGGACTTGGGTTCTTCACCACTGTACTAGTATTGTTCGCCGGATACTATGCGGTTGGCCTGAACAGCATTACTTCCAGTTGGCGCTGCACCTGATACTCAGTTTGATAATTCCCTCTTCTTGTTACTCCGTACTGTGACGTGGAATGCATTCACCCCAGAAGATGGACCTCTAATGTCACAGGTGCGAAAGCCGACAAGACCGCCTCTTGTCCTCACCATGTCGCTCTCGAGTTGGTGCTTCGCCCATCCTTCTCCATCCCAGACTGCGCCGCGAGAAAGCGTCTTCAGCACTGTCGCACGCAGTGTCTATAGATCATCGACATTGCTGGGACGACGGTAAAGCCTATGCACCTCTCTACGGTAATATGCCGAGGTTTATGATTGGCTCAAGAATCGCAGCGGCCGAGGTTATCCAAGTGCCGGGAATACCAGAGGAGCGGAATCATTGTCACTGAGTTTGATTTCTCATCGGTTGGAAGCCCTCCATACAGTCACAGGGCTCCGGCTACCCTGGTGCCTCTGTAGACACGTAGGTGCCCATGAGGATGCCGTAGATTGGTTATGAAACCCTCCCCCATCGTTGTATAATATAACTGTTCCAGTGCGGAGCCGATACAGGTAACCGATACGAGGGCTGTGACGATGCAAGGACATAACAGGACCACCGTCACGAACTCCCTCTGCTTTCCAGAGTTGCCGACCATGCTGTTAGAGGGGATGGCGACAAAAGGGGGCGTTGGAGCTCGCGATGGTCACCCTACTCAACTTCGAGTCCGCCGAGTTTACCATGTCAATTCTATCGTTCGACTCTTCGGACGGTGTCCGTTTGAAAAATTACGTCGACGCTGTTGTCCTGTACAGATTTCGACCGGACCAATAATGCCTACAGTAGCCGCCTTCCCTTCCTGCCGCTTCGTCCATGAACACCCTTCCGCACGATATACAAGGCTGGAAAATCGGGAGTCAGCAGAATCTTGCCAAGGAGATTCACCAGAGACACGACAGGGTAGGGTGGAACAGTCGGTCCAAGAGTTTGCGAATCCGTAGCGTTCAGCTGATCTCCCTTTATCTTGTATAAAGTCTAGGACAGGTAGCGTGATTGAAGATAGTGACCGGAGCCTTATATAGACTGCACGACAGAAAGGGCGCATTGGAATAGTACACCTGCGCATGATGCCGTGCCGTCAACCCATCGTTTGGTGTAGACTTGGCGATCCATCTGCGCCGTTCTCGATCATCGAAGCTTGCCTGGTCGCGGACCTTCTTGATGGAACGCCGTCCATGGCAGATTTCGTGATTCTAATTCCAGAACGGAGTATTGAGAGAGTATGGTCTGGTGGAAGGTGGAAAAGACCGTGGACGACACGGCTTCCGAGAATCCATGCATAGCAGGCAGAAGGGCGTGTTACGGCCCCTTCCAATGTTCCATGCTCTGCACTTTGCAAGACTCTAGAACACTCCTCCACAGTGATGCTGCGAGAGCTCTCGTCTGGGTGGTCCGTCGGTATTGTGATCAACCTGCGGCACGGTTTGTGGATGATCGCACTTTTCCACTGCGTCATCTAACCTCACCCAGCAGCCTACCAAAACTCAACCTGGTTTTCCCGCGCTAGGGAATTTCGTCAAAATCCTTGTCCTCGGCGATGTTACAGTAGTGTTCAGCTTTCCATCTGAATTTCGATTGGTCGTTGACACCTTGCAGTTCTCGGAGACGGTACACCCTGCCCTCTCCTCTGAAACTGTCAGGCGGTGTCACCGGCGGCGTGTGGAACAGCGTTCGGCAAGTCTCTTGCCCGGCCATGACGATGATCCCTACACAATACGGATCGTCTTTACTTTGGCGAAATATAGTGGACCAATTAAGTGTTTGCGAAAGAGGTTGATAAGATGGCAGCGTCAGACAATCGATTCTCTGCGCCAGCCAATTTAGGTCGATTGCGTTTAAAAAACTTTGCACCTTCGGATCTTCGCTGTCGGCTGCATCTTCAAGTTCTCGGTAGTATCCACCCATTCTCTCTGTGATGCCGACAAAGGAGGTTGTTTTGTCCAGCAATCGGTCATCTATGCGGATTTGACATCGATACCCAAACGACGTTGGTGCGTCAAGTCCGAGAAAGCGGAAGGCCATATGGATATATCGCATGCGCGGGGGACAATAAATGGCGATGCAGGTACGTGGATCGGTATGTGGTTTGATTGCTCTCATTACTCGGGAGTAGGTTATGTGATTTGCTCTCGTCGTTTGAGGGATACTGTAAATAGGATGGAAGTGCTTTTTCATTGATGGAATCCAAGCGACTAGTGTTGTTGTACTGCACATGACAAGGACCTCTGTAGAGGCAGGACCGTCATTAGGGCGATCTGCGTTGGATGAGCTACTCCTCTCAAGGGGAAAAAGAGACACGACTTACTTAAAGTCTGTAAGATGAGAGATTTCTGGTTCCTGCTCTCAGTCATGCTTTCAAACCGCTCTTGGCCGTAAGGTGATGAGACCGGACTTGCTTCCTGTTCCTGGGGTCTCGAATCATCAGGGCGTCTCCAGGATTCTGGTCTCGTTGTCGCCTGCATCGCAGAGCTGGTTTGCTGGTCTTGGTCAATCTCCATCCACTCATGGATGTATTTGCGCTTCGAAGGGTGCATAGACCCCAGGGTGTTTAGATATTCGCTGGCAGCACTAGCATAGCTCTTCCAGTCTGCATCCGAACAATTCTCTTCGATAATCTTCAGCGTGCGCAGATCTGGAATAGATTCCGTCTCCTGGCGGACCAGACGTCCCTTCAGAATACTCGTCCTGGCTGATGTAGTGATTTGGTCAAGCCCATCGACCAGGTCTTTCAGGTTAGTAATCAGCTTGCTGAACTTGCCATTGTCGCGAATGGCCCATCGGGTTTTGCTCATCAGGCCAGCTTTCTGGTGATAGCCGGAAACGCGCTTCTGAAACTGAACGAATGAGGAGTTTTCGAATACAGAGGTACATATTATACTTCCTTCAACGGTGGCTGTCTGTATTGCTGGCTTTTCTGAGGCCTTCTCAAGGCCATATTTGGATCTCAGAGCATCAGCGTCATGAAACAATTTCTGAATGTTCATAAGGACCCTTTCAACCAATGCGTGAGTCTCTGGGTCGTCCAGCAGTAGATCGCGGTCTTCATCCGGCCGAAGTATGCCGACAGCTTCACCCCATATCATCAGGCGGCGTTTCTCAATGCTGAGCTTGACGAGCAAAATCTCATAATCGGTGCCAAGATTACTTGCTACATTGATGAGATCAAAGCACTGTACACACAGGGAAAAGAGGCTGGCCAAAGCAACTGCGCCGATGGTTAAGCTGATAGGGTCGACAGGTGCCACCATTGCAGGCTGCGGTGAAGCAGATGTATGAATAGAATAGTTAGGATGGCAGGGCAAACAAGCCAAAAGTGATAAGCGAAAAGTAAATGACAGGACAACTGGAAGCTATTACGAAGGACACTTTTGTATGGTGTTAATTTCTATGGAACTACGAAGTACAGAGTGGTGCATCAATAGTCATCAATATACGCTAACTAGGATAGATTAGAGCTAGCTATTTTTGCAGTAATGTCATACTAGGTTCTACTTACGATATTAGAGCTGCTAATAGACTGAACCCTAAAGCTTAGCTGACATAGATTATGAGTCAAGCCCAGCAGCCTAAGAGAAGCCCAGAGGCCCTAGGCATCTCTAGGGAATGTTACAGGCTACTGTAGGGGCTACTGTAGAGGCTCCCTCTTTATGAGATACAGTACTAGGTCAAAAGTATTGGACCGACCCCGCATTTTCACCCCACCAACATTTTCCACTCTTCCCATACAAATTACTACTGTACGCCCGGTATTTATTGGAATCCTATAAGAATCAATTAAATAGTACGTTAAAATCTGCTTTTTCGAATAGTACTAATTTCCTAAATAGGCGACTAGATATCAGAAGCGGGTGTACCATCCCTTGGCCCTGATCACTGCATTTATACAGGTATCCATGCTCTTAATTAAAGCATCAATAGCTTCTTGCCTAATGGCGTCCTAACCCTTATGAATAGCTATAAATAGACGTTGATACTTAGCCTCAGATTTGCCTATTTTGATCAAGTCAGGGTAGTAGTCATTAATTTATTGCTTGAGTTACGCCTAGAGATGCTTAATTAGGTTCAGATCCGGACTATAGAGGGGCTATTCAAGCGGAGATATACCCTCCTCCTCAAACCAGGCCTTAACCTTTTTTGCAGTATAGATTTAGGCGTTATCTTGCATAAAAATCTGACCAGATTTATACGTTTAAGGGATTTGCTTATAGAGAACAGTAAGATAAGAGTTGGTAGTGTATCCTGACTTCTCTGAATTAGGATCACGCTCTAAAAGAATGATATTTAAACGCTTATTTTTATAAATTATATTCTATATTATAATGCTGATATTCTTACTTTTCTTAAATAGCTAAATTATATCTTTATCTTACTTTTGTTATAATATACAAAAGTTCTAAACTTACTAGGCCTTAGAGCCTCTTTTAAGAGAATATTCATTACTAAATATAATCTTACACTAGTTATCTCACGTCTAATTTTTTTGTTTTAAACATTAAGTAAGGTGTTTAGTAACTACTTCAAGAGTTAAAAAAGATCTTTTTTTAGTAAGCTAATTAGTAATACCCTCGTCTTTAAGTATTTAATAAAGGGTGCTTTTTAAAACAGGTACTTTAAGGGCAAGTTAAAGAGCTGTATAAGTAATTCTTGGATTAGCTTGAATAATATATCCCCTCCGTCCCTGGGTGTGCCTATTAGCGTACTTAGCGTAAAATAAGGTTTTTGAGCCGCATTTGATCGCCATAGCTTTCCGCAGCTGGTTTTTAAAATGAATTTTCAACCACCTCTAATGCTACGACCACGTCGAGATATACAAATTCCACTAAGATACAGAGATAACTCACCTCCGCAATTACTACAAAATAACAACTAGCGAAAAAGATACAGAATTAACCCAAAAAAAAGTTGATCAAAATAATGTCGATCAAGCCTTGGCAGTGATAGCACCTGCGCTAGAATACGCAAATGAATCACTAACACTTATTTCAATAGAACTCTCTCATTTTGAGGCTAATTACGTTTAAAATCAAACTAGAGCTTCTTAATACACAGGTTTATCGGAATTAGGCTTTTTTAAGCTCTTTTTTAGTGATTTCGTAATAGAAATCCTTTCTAAAGAGACTAATTTATACGCTAAATCTTAACTTTAGGATCCTTTATATCCTCTTCTTTCTCTCTTGTCTAAATGTTACTAGGTACCTATTACACTAGCAGAAATACATATATTTCTGAGCATAAATCTCTATTTTGGCTTGTACTTATTAATAATATAAATAGATTATTAAAAAATTCATAATCTTAGTTAATTTATAAGTCAAGATTAATTTAAACTTATTCATTATTATTTTAGCATAAATAGTGCTCCTTCTGCTTTAAATGCACCTTAGTTCTATTGAATTTAATATATAACTGACCTTATTTGAACTGCCTATTAAGATGCTTATTATCTCTCTTCTTATATTACTATTAATAAAGCTATAGTCGCCTTTGCAAGCTATTTAAGAGATATAATTAAGCTAAAGAATAAGCCTATTAATACTGGTTATAAACTATAGTATATTAGTAATTATAGCTATATTTAGAGCTAGCTATTTCATTCTTGAGTAAAGAGCATTAAAATACTTAAAAAGAGTAAAAAAACAAGCTAGCTGTGCTTGTGCTCTATAAGTGAAATATATATAAAGGATTTAGCACTTATATTTGCGCTTATTTTATATCTTATAAAATAGCTTTTAAAATAGCTCAAATTCTGTATCTATTTAGATAATCTGTTTCTAAATCTGCTTATTATATAGTGCCTTTTAGCTTTAAGGGTATATTACATAAGTATAATGTAAAAAAAGGCTAATAGATTTCCTTTATATCTTTAAAGCTATTTTGAGAAAAAAAGCTACTATAAGACTCTATTATAGTAAAGGTTATTAATAATAATACTCTCTGCTTTATCTAATAAGATAATAAGGCTATTAGCATTATTTTGACTGCTTATAGCCTTTATAAGGCTAAGAATAAGGTTTAATATATATAAAGATGCTTAAAAATAACGTCTAAAAATTAACAAATTCTATTATTTGTTTTTAATAATTAATTATTTAAAAAGCTCTTTATTTTAATAGTTATTAATAATTATAATTATTATATAAAGAGTATAAATCAAGCTAATTAATTATGTATAGGCTTTATATATTATAGAAAGCAGAACTATTAAATATAATAGCCTTTATTTTTCTTCCTTATTAATATTACTTATACTAACGCTTATTTACTATAGAAATAAAGTAATAATATATAGAATTATAATAGCTATAAGATCATTATAAGTACCTTATATAATTAATTACTATATTTAAATAATTTAAAGAAGGAAGAGCAAAAAGAAAAAAAGAAAGAACAATCCTATTCTTAACTTACAACAGTATTTTAGTGCTACTATAAACCTATACAACTCAAACAGCATAGCTAGTGCGAATAGGGAAAGCGTCATTCATCAGGCTGTTTGTATAAACAGTCAAATAAACGCAAATTTGGAACCAACATTACAGAATTAACTATTAACAGCGCTAACAAGGGTATTTTAGAAGGCTCCTTCACTCATCAAAGATGCAGTAAATGCCAGATTTGGCTCTGTATCAAAGGAGACTGCTGGCAACAGTATCACAGCTCAATTGAGGCCAATAGCTAGATAGAACAGTCTCAATTCGCCGAAAATAGACGTTTGTTGACGTTTTTGGACCCCTCATAATGATCGACAGCGCTAATAGGCACAAACTACACCCCTGTTCAGGGACGGAGGGGATAGGATGCTGCATACGGGAAGAGGGAACCCTAAAGGTAAGATTTCTGGTACCAAGGACAAAAACGCGTGTTGGAAAAAAAGTGCGCGTTGATCTAATACTTTTGACGTGGTACTGTACGAATTATGTAGTACTAAGTTCGGCTAGAGTTTGCTAGAGGCGTTCTAGTTTTAGCGTATATTGAGACCTTTGATGCACGACCTAGTACAGAGTACAGAGTCAACAGGGGTTGAAGAAATTAAGGGCACCACAATTTGCGCCGAAATTTAGCCGGAATGAATCAACAACTCAACAACAAATTTCTACGCGAATTTATGGCATCAATTCAACAAAATGAGTCCTCCTATTACTCCTACAAGGGCTACTAAGCGCAAGGAAGCTAATACAGTCAAAAAATCTCGATTTTTTGAAGCATACGACTTATAAACGCGCAGCGAAGATTCTCTAGAATCTCTTGCTACTAAACATGGCATCGCAAAACGAACAGCTTATAAATGGCTAAAAAAGCGTCAAATTCAAGGATCTCCTGCCTATCGAAAAAGCTGAAAGCTCTCAAAACAACTTGGTCGACAGCCAAAGCTTATAGATAAGCAACTTTAACGTCTTTTGTCCTCTTTAAACCTTATTTAAAATTAATATTATAAGCATCAAATTAAGTATTTTAGACTCTCTTATACTATTTATATACTTTAATTAGCTCTTCAAGATCACAAAAATTATGCTTAGTAATATAAATTAGTATAAATAAAATAGCTTTTAAAAAATAATATTTATTTATTTGATTCTTATACTAATGTAGTTCTAGCCTAGGGCTAGTTTATACAGGGGATATATATAATTAAGAGCAGTTATAACTCTTAATAACAAATAAGAATAAATATAAGAAAACCTTTCTAGGGAAAAAACCTTACCGCTAGTAAGTAGACGAGTTCTTTAGGGCGCTTTAACAGTGTGCACAGGGCTCTATAGCTATAGTGTAGTTAGGCGTAAAGTTGTTTAGCCGTAAATAAGAACTAAGGGAGGGCCCTAGCCTTTATTAGCTAAAGCGTTACTATCTTAAGGGCCTTTGGATCGTTAAAGAGACAGTGGTAATCTGTTGTGCCAGCAGCGGCAAGCATCTTGTGTCTGTCTAAGAGCAGCGGGCAGTCTATAACTATGTGTTAGGTAGTCTGTCTTCTCTAACCACACCTACAGGATAGTAAAGGGATGTCTGAAATATTCTATTTAAAGAGAAAGTCTGTAAAGCCTATTTTGTTAGTCCTTAGCTATATAATAAGAAAGCTTTATACTTTAGCTAAGCCTTAATATATCCTTAATCTTTACTTACTAATTTCCTTACTTTATATAAGACTTAGAGCTTACTAGAGTACTACTAAGTAAGCGCTTTATAATAATTACTAGTTCTTTGACTAAGATGCTCTAATTATTTAGTAATAAGACTAGTATTATTATTATAT